TCCTGGGGCCTTCTTTCTACTCCCTATGTATTTAAAAAATATTCCAATCATAAAATCATAGAGCTAAATTGTTCCTCTTTGTTACTTTTTTTAAGGCAGTGGTTCTCAACCTCTTTTGGACCAGGGCCCATTTGTAAACATCCATGGCCAGTCTGGACCCAGTGCCCCTCACTCCTATCCACCCCCCCCCAAATGCGTGGGATGCGTGGAGGGCCCCAACCAGTCCCTTGCAGGCTGGAACTCTGCCAGCCTGCAAAGGAAAAGCCATGGTTTCCCATCTTTTTTCCCCTTTAAAGGAGAATCCATTTTTCAAGTTGGTTGATTCTTTTTTAAAGTTTGTTCATGACCCTTTCATAGATTCTTGCGACCCACTTTTGGGTCGTGACCCACAGGTTGAGAAACACTGTTCTAAGGCACGTACCCTCTGCCCCTACTAGGAGAGCAGTGTAGAGAAGACCAGATCAAAGTTACTCTTTTATTAATATAATTTGAAGAATAATTTGAATTTAATGTTCTTGTTGCCGTGAATTGAAAAAACCCCAAACCCCACTAATTACATAGAAAAGAAAAATGTGGTAACTCAAGGTCCAATGATTCGTAGCTTTAACACACTACTTTTGTGGACCACCTGGCCTCTGCCAGATGTGCAGGTAAAGGTGCAGTAGGATCCGGTGCACAATCCACACAATTGCGCTTCCTGCTATGCCACACATGCCATCACACCTTATTGCTGATTCAGGGGGAGCCCAGGATCATGATCCCAGGCTCTCCCTGCCCCGGCAAGTAGCAAGTGTAATGTGTGGCAAGGGCCTCTGTTAAAGAGCAGAAAACTCACTTGTGGACAGTCTTAGACTATATTAAATGCTATTATTGTGGAAAGAGTTGATGTTTAGGAGATGAATTTTAGGTCCTCAGATTCTGTTTAACTTAATGCTTTTTCCCTTTTAAAGGACAAACAGATAAAGGCAATATGAATGTCAAAAGATAGGAAGTGTACACAGTGCATCTTTTGATAGCAATTCATTTGCCTGAAAACCGGACACATGGTGTATAGAAGATTGCCCCTTGTAGACCCCATATTTTGTCTTGGCCTGGCTTTGTTCTAGCCCAGCAGTCAGCAAACTTTTTAAGCTTCAGGCTGAAATGACCCAGCTTGGGTGGGTGCTAGAAGCAGTAACAGTGGTTGGATCTGCTTCCAAATACCACCAAAGCCCCACATCCATGGGCCAGATCAAGTGGTTTCACAGGCTGGGCCCAGCCCAGGGGCTGTAGGTTGCTGCTCCTTCCTCTAGCTGTTCTGTGGAGTTGTGAGGCTGGATGCTCTTTTTCCCATCATACTATTCAGGGAGCAGGAAGGGAAGGGATTCCTAGAGAGCAAAAGTTCTTACACTGGGAATTTTTTTTACTAGTAGAGAAAATGAGACATGCTCTTGTATGAGCATTTTTGCCTTCATCGTTGGGGACCACGGAAGAGTGTTAGTGTAAATGAACAGTCAGAAACGTTACTGTAGTAAGATTTCATTTTTTCTTTCAGTTATGGCAGCTATGAGGAACCAGATCCAAAGTCTAACACACGAGATACCAGTTTTAGCAGCATTGGAGGGTATGAAGTCTCAGAAGAGGAGGAAGAAGAGGAGGAGGAAGAACAGCGTTGTGGGCCCAGTGTGCTAAGCCAGGTTCATCTGTCTGAGGATGAGGAGGACAGTGAGGAATTTCATTCCATTGCAGGAGACAGTGACCTGGACTCAGATGAATAAGCTTCCCAGACATCCTCTGTTGCTAAAGGATGTATGCACTCATGGTTCACAGGTGTCCTGTGTGCCCTTTCAGACTCGTGGACAATGCAGTATGGGATGCTCATTTGAAGCACCTGTTTTTTCTTGGATAGAACTTCTATTTTAATGAGAAGTCTGTTTACTATTGTACATTATCTTATGCATTCATCTAAACTGTGAATGACAAACTTTGGAAAAAGTCCCTTCCTGACATCGCAGAACGGCTGTGGTGGTCGTCTGTTACTGGAGTCAGCTCAAGTTTCCGGTGTTCTGGCTTGTGCCTCCTTGTTCTTTCCAGAGATGAAATATCCTTACAAAAATTAACAAGGTGGAAATTTAGTTTTTGGTGCGGTTTGTTTAATCAGCCTTTACACATCTGTCAAAAAATAAATGTCTGAAAGTATCCTCTAAAAGAAATCTGAGTAAATTTTTGTTAAAACAAAATACATGCATGGCCCGCGTATCTTTTAGAATTGTTGCCATGCTCCCGAGAGAGAACGAGCAGTGAGCTGCGTGCCCTGCCTGGGCTCAGGGTCTCTCCAGAGCCATGTTTTTCTCGAGTGTTGTAGGTTAGATCAGGTCTTTTCTGAACTTTCTCACTCGAGTGGTTGCTATGCCTGGACTTCCTTAACTGCCGTCCTTCGTCTTCCTCCATGAAGAGGAGATGCTCCCTGCAGGGGGGTTGCAAAGCCGCTGGAGGAGCCGGACTGCTGGGGCAAGGCGCAATTGGCTCCAGTGGCAGAAGGGAAGTTGAAGTTGGACATTAGGAAAAACTTCCTTGCCAGGAGAGGGGTGAAGCAGTGGGCCAGATCAGCCAGAGAGGGGGTGGGGTCTCCATCTTTGAGGTGTTTAGGAGCCGGCCCGGAGGATGCGGCTGGGGCTGGTTCTGCTCTGCCAGCAGCGCTGGGGGCTCGAGCAGAGCCGCCGCCCGCCCTAGGAGGCAGGGTCGCCGGGGCTCCGCGCTCGTGCCACCCCACCCTGACCGGGGCCGGGAGAAGGCAGAGCGGACACTCCCAGCAGGCCCCGCGCGGCAGTGACGCATCCGGATGTGGCCGCGGGCACCATGTGCGGAAAGGTGGCGCATGCGCGCTGAGGCCGGGATGTCGTAATGGGCTGGCGGAAGGACACCGGGACAAGGTGCTAC